GTCGACTGCATCGGTCGACCGATGGAAAATTTGAGCTTTCGGTCGACCGGTGTGGTCGACCGACAAACTCTCTGCTGTCCAGAAACAAATGAACAATTAAGCGGTCGACCGGTGCGGTCGATCGAAAACTGATATGACAGAAAATCTGATTTGCTGATTTTAAAATGCTGTTTAAAAATATCAAACAAATTCCAAAAAAATGTAAAACTTTGGGGAATGATTATAGACATGATAATAAACATGCTACAGTTACTGGTTATCAGAAAGGACCTCCCAAATAAAAAATATCATCATTTTACAAAATAGTGTATGTAGGAAAAATTGCAAAGAAGAGAATAAAGAAAATTTGACTTTGATTCCTTTGATCTCGATTACAACTTGATTACAAAAGAGAGGAAAACAAATTTGGTTTTCCCCTTTGTTTAAAACTGGGTTCTTCTCGGTAGCGATGGAATGCCTCCTTCAATTGCTTGCGTCGAATTTGCTCTCCGTTGACGATCCGACTGTCTCTCTCTCATGGGAACAATGAACTTTTGTAGAAAGTTTGGTGTTTAACTCTGAATGAGTTTTTAAGAACTCTGAACGAGTTTGAACTCTGTGAGTAGAGTTGTTGGAACCGAAAATTCGGTTAATGATCAAGCTGTCATTCTGTTGCTGACGAATCCCCTTAGATTTGATCTTCTGAGATTGATTCAAAAATCCTATCTTCAAGGATTTCGCTGCTGCTAAAATCTCCAAACCCGAGTGGTTTTGATCCTTGCTAAATCTTCTGTTGTTTCAAAGAGGTTGTAACTGACCCCTATATCCGCTCCTACGTAGATGAAAACCCCTCTGAACGTGGGATAAACGGTTTTGGAACCGTTCGACTCATGTTTGAACAAGTCAAACGCCCAATCTGGCGTTCAGAACCCAACTTCGCTTCTTAGGATTGAGACGCGAGGTTGGGTGTTAGCTGAACACCATTGAACGCGAGGGTCGCTCGCGTTTTGGCTTGTTGCCTGCTTGTAAATGCGGGGGTCCTTGTTGGTTGGACTCCTACGAACGCGAGGGTCGCTCGTGTTTGGATTGTGGCTTGGCGACGCGGGGGTCGCCTTCATTTCCAAAGTGGTGACGCGGGGATGACATCCGCGTCTCAGAATGAGCTATTTGACTTGTAGCTTCTTCTGTGTTGCATTGCAAGGACCGTTGTTCAGTAATCCTGGCTTTAGCTGTTGTGGAGTGTGAAAGTCGTCAGATTGTAACTTTCACTGTAGATTGTGAAGACTGCTGAATAGAGTTTTCATCCGTTGTCGGAAGTGTCGTTGAATTGTAACTCCTCTCGATCTATGTGAAAAGCCCTCCATTCGCAACTTTCGTTCACCGACCTGAAAGCTTTTTGATTGTAGCTTTCGTTGTAGGAGCTAGACGGGAATCAACATCCATAGTGTTTTGAAGATGAATATTTGCCCACAGCTCTCTACCAAACAACTATCTGATTGTATGTTTCGATTATCGGCGCGAAAGCTATTTGATTGTAGCTTTCGTTGTGAGAGCTTGACGGGAATTAACATCCATAGTGTCTTGAAGACGAATATTTGCCCACAGCTCTCTACCAAGCAACTCACCATCTAAGTCCATCCTTTTCTTTCTAAAATCATCCCATTACTCATCAGCATCTCTAATAGTTGCTAATATAATATTAGTGCTGTTGTCGCAGCCATCAAGATCAATCATCTCAGAAGTGAGGTCGTGTTTGTGGCGATTGTGGAGTTGCGGATGCAATGATTGGGAAGTCGTCTGATTGTGACCTCCATTGTCGGAGCTTGTTTGGATAAGCTATCTATTGTGATTTTTAGACAGCCTACAGAACCCCCTCCAAAGTTTTCGAAAGTTCGCGGTTGGCTGGGACGAATTTTCGGAATACTTTGGATCCCAAAATTTGGTGGATTGATTGCTCACTCCGTTTGATCGGGCCAGATGATTTCGCCGTTGTTGATTGTGATCTATCTGTACTCCTCCAATAGACTCCCCAGTGGAGTCGTTTGTTTCTTCCCGGCTTTATTCGCCTTGATGATTGCTGTTAGCTCTTCTGTTAGTTATCAGGGGCCATGTCGTAGCCTTGGTAGTCAAGAAGTTGCTAACATAGCGATCCAAACACAGAGATAATTTCTGCCTTTGGGGATTGGAACGCGTGGGTGAGCTCAGCGTTGAGAATTTTGAACGCGAACGTGAGCCATCGCGTTTGGAAGCTCAACCAACTCGAACGCGAGGGTCGAGTTTGGGCGGGCTGATGGCCTCGAATCCCGTCCGTTACGATTTGACAGCTCATAGCTGTCTATAAATAGACCGCTAGGGGTCAAATCAAGAGTCTTTCGACTCTTCTTGAAACCTTAACGAAAAATTTTCGTTCTTATTTCCGGCGAAAACTGTTCTTCTTCTCCGACGAGATTCAATGGCACCCAAGAAGCCAACCGCTTCCAAATCCGATGCTGCTGCCGCTCGAGGGTCTGCCTCGTCAGCGCCGGCCGGCGGCGCTGCTGCTCAGGCGGATGTGCCGCCCCAACTCCCTTTGATTGGTGGTGAGTATGACCTCTATGGCCATTAAACTTGCTTCGGCAAGTTCTGATCTTGAGATCAACGAGGAAACTCGTTTCAATAACGCGGGGCTGGACTCCGTCGTTTCATCTTTCTTGACGCGGGGGTCGACCTGCGCGTCTGAGATTTTTGACGCGAGGGTCAACCTACGCGTCTGAACTTTCTGGCGCGGGGTTGGACCTTCGCGTCTGAGCTTATCTGACGCGGGGTTCGACCTTCACGTCTGAGCTTCTTTGACGCGAGGTTGGACCTTCGCGTCTGAGCTTGTTTGACGCGAGGTTTGACCTTCGCGTCTGAGCTTTGATTTCGAGTTGTCTAACTCTTTTCCTCTTTTTGCAGTGCGTCATACCAGTGAACCTCTTCTTTTTCGCCACCATTTTGGGCATGCAGGTGGTGCGGACATGAACATGGCCTTCAGCTCGCGCCAAGAACTCCCAGTTTTCCGAATTAGGGAGAAAAGTCGCGTAGAATTAATTACCCAAGCTTCTTCCGATACTCTTAGGACATTGGTTACGGACGCCCGACTTGAAAGCCCAAGCCGTAAGCCAATAGTTAAACCTGAATATCTTTTCGGGGACTTTGTTGACTTCGACGCAAGCATTGCTTATGATGGGGACTATAAGTGGTTGCGGAAAGTTGGGGACCGCAACCTTTTCTTGCCCAATATGGAGAGGATGTTCCCCATATCTTATTTCCAGTGTGCTTCTGTCCCAAGGCATATGGATTGGCCCCTGGTTAAGGATCAAGATGGGGTTGCTCTCGGGACTTTGACTTTTTACGGGGTCCGCACAGTTGGTTATAACCGGCAGGTGACAGCTTTGCGACCGAGTTTATTTGCTAAGGAGGATCCCCTTGGCGAAGCACCCAGCCCGGCGAAGACCTTTATTAAGAGATTTTTGGAAAAGAAAGGAGAATTCCCCGCACAAGGATTTAGAGCTCCTGGTTGGGTTCATTCTCTAGTGACAGGGTGGTGGGCCCAGATGACCAAGTTCGTTTTGGATGAATTAGAAACCCCTCTTACCCAAGCTGGATTACTGGTTCCAGTGCGGGCTACTAAGTTTAGGATTATTCAGAGCCACTTTCACTTCTTCTCCATATTGGAGAAGTATAGTCCCGAGACTTGCACTTTCTTCACCCCTGTGGGGGAGCTAGGCTTCGTTCTTCACGAGATGCACGAAGTCTCAGGTCTTATTCTCGGGGATTTACCTTATGAAGAATTTGTTCCGGGATCTGCGGAACTTAAACTTTTGAAGAAGACCAGCCTAGAAATTTACGCCACTCTCTGGGAAGTGATGTGTCACTTCCATATCTGCATGTAGCTGACGGGGGCTCACGGAAGCGGCATCGAACAAGTGTCTTGGGCGGAATATTTATTCCGGAACTTGACCATTAAAGGAGGCTCTGTGACCCGATTGCCTGTCAGTACTTTGGAAGAGGTTCAGGCTCGTATTGACGACGCTACCTCCCATTACACCAACGAGGCCAAGGAGGATGTTTTCCCGGCTCATACAGAGTTTGAAAGCTTCCATTATCAAGCCCTGATTCCAATTTCCGACGCGGCGTTGCTGGCTGGATTCTTGATGCTATGGCTCAAGCGTTGCGTCATTCCTACCAGGCCGGTCGATGCCCTTGCTATTGAGGTGGTCTACCCAGCTGTTCTCTTAGCACATGGGAGACCTGTGAGCCTCCTCAGTGCCATGGTGGGTTGCTTACATTATAGCCTGCGGGAGTTGGCCTCTGACTTTGTTGGTGTTACAGAGGTGGAATCTGAGGGTCACAAGACTTTCAAAACTCCCAATCCCAGGGTACCAATGCCATATGCCTATTTGATGGCTTGGTACGTGCTTCACTGTCCTCCTTTGATGAGTGCAGCCTCTCCCCGGGGAGATTCATTCATCCCATTTGTGCAGCGACTAGAGTCTGCAAAGTGGGAAAGGGGATACATGGTTAGAATTCGCCAAATCTTAGCGCGAGACACCCATTTCCACATCTACCGCTGTTTCCCTGATTTTGAGGGCGACATCTATGGAGCAGAATATCAGGATACGGCAGGTCCCAATGGATTCACTCAGCTGAGCGGGGGTGTTTTCCATTGGCTTCTTTCTATCAGGCCAGGCTACCTGATCTTCCGACAAGGCGCCAAATGCTTCATCGAGCCTTACCAACCCTATAGGTTCGCTCGCCAATTTGGGTATGATCAGTTGTATGTCGGGAACCCTCGTTCTCAACTTTCAATCATAGGCAATTTGTATGAAGGAGCCAGGGCTTGGTATTATTCTGTAGCAGGCTGTACCAAAGCCGTCTTCAAGCTTCCTCACAAAACTGCTAATTCTTATACCTCCATCAGCATCTGTAATTGGTATTACGGCGCTTCTCAGACTCCCAACTACAACTTGAATACATCTTGCCTGAAAGACATTAGGCATATGTATAATTTAAGGAAGGGGTCCAAGACATCCCGTTTGAAAGGGATCGAAGAGTTTCTGTCCATTGAGAATCAATCTATTGGACAGGAAGAAGAACAGACAGCTGAGCCTGTTCCAGAGGAAGAGCAACGAGTGGTTGATCCTCCCGTGACAAGAGCGGCGGGGAAAAGAAAACTCTCTGCAGATGAGGCCGGCAAATATGATAAGCAAATTCGTCGGAAACTTCTGGTGGATTCTCCCTCCAAAGGACAGCAAAAATCCATGTTGATGGCTGAGCATCAAAGCTGCTGTAAATGAAGAACAACAAGAATCGTCCGTGGCGGGCCTGCCACATAGAGCTGGACTTCGTTCTCACGGCCCAGCTTTATCGGGCGAAGCCTCTTCTTACCATCCTCCTGAGGAAGAGGACGAATTATTGGTTGCAGATGCAGAGTCTGCTCCGGTGATGGATCTTCCTAGGTCTCCTGCATTGGAACCAGGGGGTCTTGAAGATAATCCATCTCCTTCTCCTTCAGCATTAATGTCACAAGCTGGTGATTTAATGCCTAGTCCTATAACGGGACTTATGAACAGACCAGCTGCTGGTGCAAGTCCTCCGGAGTCTTCAGCTGTTCAGGATGATGAGGAGCGAGTTGATTATGACGACTCCCCAATTGGTGATGCAGCTGACGGAAATAGAGGCAATGAGGATGCTGATGTTGGCAACATGTCAGGTGATGGTGAAGATGACGATGAGCATGATTCCATCGATGACGTCACCACTTTTGATGATGATGCTCCCAAGGTCCCATCCGATAAAGTATCTGGTTATACTCCTTTTCACATCTCCGGTAAGTCTAGTTTCCTTCGACTTCTTCCGCATGTGTTTTCTGCGTTCCGACCCTTTTTTCGTGCAGGTTCACCTTCTCCAGGGACCACTGCTGCTACTGCTTCAGTGCCAGAACATGTGTCGGCTCCTTTAGAAGAGCAACATTTACGTGGCTCTCCTACGGCAACTATTCCACCTGTAGCGTTGCCTGAAACTACTGTCGCAACTCCTCCTCCGGAGCAGCAGCTTGTGCCGGTGTTGGCTCCTGTGCAAGCGCAGCCTACACCTGTAGTGTTGCCTGAGACTACTGTAGCTGCTTCGCCTACTGCATTGCTGAAGATCTCGCTTACTCCAACAGAGGCACAGCCAAGCACATCTCAAGCAAGGGCGATGATGGCTTTAACCTCAAGCCCTTCACAATTGAATATTTCTACCGCTTCCGCAGCTTCGGCGCCAGGATCCCCTGCACTAACTTCGATAGCTAAAGGGGCGTCGTCGGCTCTGGTTCCTAGTCTCGCTGACACACCTGAATTTCTTCAGATCTCCCTGGTATATCTAAATAGCCTTGCGAAAACAGTAATTGAGTACATGGTGAATGGTCGGGGGACTTTAAACTCCTTCCGACCTCTTTTAAAGGCAGGCTTGAATGGGGTCAGGAGTGTGGGCAATATTCAGTGGTTCGAGCGCTGTTCAGAAATTATTCTCCACTTGGAAGAGCAATTACAACGCTTCGAAGCCCTGGGCCAGAAAGAACTTCAGCCAGAGATTGTGTCCACTCTGGCCAGTCTTCAGGTTGCAGAAGTGGCTCGCCGGGAGGCGGTAGAGCGGGACTTGGCTGAAAGAGAACGTCAAGTTGCAGAGCTTCATGAGCGTAATATTCGGAAGCAAGAAGAGTTAGAACGCTCGACAACTTCTATGAATTCGCTTCGTGATAGACTTGTCGAAGCTGAGGCCGAAGTCCTGCGCTTAAAGGCTGAACTTTCCCGTGAAGAAAACGTTGTCAATATCCTTAGCACCCAAAATACCACTGGCGCTTTGGAATATCATACACAGGCTCGAGCTTTGGCACAAGCTAGGAATGAAGCAGCGGCCATCATCGTACCCAACGAGGAAGAGCTCCGGGCAAAGGCTGAAGCTATGGTACAAACCACTCACGAAGAGGAGCTAAACCAAATTAGGGCCCAACTCACTTCTTTTGATTTGATGCATGAGTGAATTTTGCTCTTGTAATGTTCTTTTGATAAGAACAAGATTATCTTGTATCACATTCTTTTGGTTCTTGAATAAAAAGTGATATTAGCTTCTCATTGTTTCTTGCATTTATCATGTTTTGATTTTAAGTAACAAATCACGAGAAATGCCTGAGATCTTGACTTAGAATAGGTCTCCACAATGGTTCTGATGCAACGAACTCTCTTCATTATCGTTTAAGATACTTCTAGAAAGTTTCAAACAGCTGAGGAGTAACTTCTTCCCGCAATGGGGCTGAATGGTAGAATTCTTCCTGTGTTATGTTTTGCTTTAAACACTAAAAGAAGGTATATATATAGTTATGTATGGTTTTGAGTTTTCATGCTTTGGACACACTTGCAAAATACATGAGTTTTTACAAATAGAAATTCAATTTGAGAAATTCTTTTTCCAACATGTTTGTTTTCATGTTTACAAATACTTTGCAAAGTTTCATCAAGTTTGGAATTGATTTGCTATGTTTAATGGAATTTACAAAATCATGTTTTTGTTCGTGCACATGTTCGTGCATGTTTTACAAAACAGATGAGCGATCAGGGCAATTTTGAGGACTTATCGTTCTATTGACGAGAATCGATAAGTTGATTTTGTCAGAGGTGTAATTTTAACGTGACAGAAGAAACATTGCGATCAGGGCAATTTTGAGGACTTATCGTTCTATCGATAAGTTGATTTTGTCAGAGGTGTAATTTTAACGTGACAGAAGAAATATTGCGATCAGGGCAATTGTGTATGTCAGCAGTTTTTCAGAAACTGTAAATCTGTGTTCAAATATTTATTTCTCTCAATTGGGAAATTCGTTTTCTGAAATTCTTTCTCTAACATGTCATTCTACATGTCTAGAACCTTCCTACAAAATTTCATAATTTTTGAAGCTGTTTTACTATTTTTAATTAATTTTACAAAACTAGATGTATAGTGCTACAGTAATGCGGTCGACCGGGAGTGTCACCGCGGTCGACCGGAAAATGTCCAGAGAGCCTTTTGTCAGAGGTGTAATTTTAACGTGACAGAAGAAATATTGCGATCAGGGCAATTTTGAGGACTTATCGTTCCATTGACGAGAATCGATAAGTTGATTTTGTCAGAGGTGTAATTTTAACGTGACATTTATGGGGAAAGAATATTATAGCGTCTCACAGGGGAGAACTGCTATGTGTTTTATCATCGGAGCGATGAATTGACCGGGAGTGTCACCGCGGTCGACCGGAAAATGTCCAGAGAGCCTTTTTTGTTGCTGTGAACAGTGCGGTCGACCGGACGACGCTCGGCGGTCGACCGGTCAGGTTATCGTTGCACAGTAATGGCTAGTTCTGTTTTTTGTTTATTTTAATGTTTTGGGGGTGTTTTTCTTGGTTTTTGGACTTAACTGCTATGTGTTTTATCATCGGAGCGATGAATTGTGATACTTGTGATTTGAGCAGGATTTTGGGGTGCAGTATTAACCCAATGAGAATTTGAATTCTGCTGAAGAAATACAGAGGTCTTGACTAACACCCCGTTAAGCGGGCTTACAAGTGCATGTTCTTCGTTTAGAAGAATTGCAACGCTGGGGTGACCTTCGCGTTTGATATTTGATTTGTTTATTTTAATGTTTTGGGGGTGTTTTTCTTGGTTTTTGGACTTGTTTCATGAGCCTATATATACCCCATGCCTCATACTTCTAAGAAAACTTAAGAAATGTTTTAAACAAGTTTAAAGAGTTTTAAATAAGGGTTTAAGTGTGTTAGTGTTTGTTTTTGGTTTGAAGATTGTTTTTGGTTGGGATTCACTTCCTAGAATCCCGTGCCCTCTTAACAGCTTGACGGCTGTTATAAGTAGACCTGAGCGGTCACGTCAAAAGTCAATTGACTTTCAAGACTTTCGGCTATTTTCAAGAACGAGAATTCTCGTTTGATTTCGGTGAAATCTCCGACGAACTTCGTCTTCCTTGTTCAAAGGACCTTCTTTCGATCAACTGCATCAATGGCACCTCGGAGAAGGGGTTCGAACTCCAAGAGAGTCGCTGAGGTGACTTCCGACATGCCGTCGGCTGAGAACACTGGCGGTGTTCTTGTTCGTGCGAGGACTTTGCCGTCGACGTCGCCGTCGCAGGGGCCTCCCTGTCGTGGTGAGTGCTGACCGAAATAACTTGCCTTGGCAAGTTCTTTGAAAACCCTAGATGGGTTCTTGATAACGAGGAAGATGACTCGTTTTAACTCAATGAAAACGCGGGGTTGGGATCCCATGTGGGTCTCGACCCTCGCGTTCAAATTTTTCAACACGAGGTTGACTCTCGCGTTTTGAGACTTCTTCAACACGGGGTTGACTCTCGCGTTTGAGGCTTCTGACGCGAGATTCGACCCTCGCGTTGGAGATTTCTGACGCGAGGTTTGACCTTCGCGTTGGGGACGAGACTTTAACCCTTTGTGTTTCTGACTATGTCTTTATGTCGATAGCTCGCTTCTAGCTACTAACTTCTGCTTTTGATTATGCAGTGCTTCTCCCAAACGTGCCGCTTTCACAAGAGCACCATTTCGGATACATTGGTGGACCTGACCCGAATGAATTATTCAGTCTTCAGAACAGGATTCCATTGTGTACTTTTCCTGATTCGGAAAGGGCGGAAATGATTAAATTCCCCCAATGCTCTACTCTCAGGATTCTGATAACTGATTTAGACATGGAGACCCCTGCCGGTCATACCCAGTTTTCTAAACCAGCGTTCATATTTGGAGATCGCATACCAGCTGATGATCATCTCACATACGTGGAAGACTCAAAGCTGCTGCGGAGAGTTGATACCCGCTTTTTATTCCTCCCTAACATGAAGAGGATGTACCCTCTTTCCTACTTTCTGAATGCGAGCTGTCGTCGGGGTTTGACCTTCGACGTAGTGAAGGAAAAGGAGAACGTGTCGCTTGGATTTAGTCGACGAGCTCGTACACAAATCGGGGAACAACTCAAGGGGTTAAAACCTGGTTTGTTTGAGAAGAAGGAACTGGTTCGGGAGATGCCACGTCCAGCGAAAATCTTTATTCGCCAATTCCTTGCAACTCAGGGTGAATTCTCTACCCAGACGTTCAGGTCCCCTGGATGGGTCTGCTCTGGAGAAGGAGGTTGGTGGACCCGCATGGTTGACTTTGTTCTTGAGGAGCTTAAGGACTCGCTCGCTCAATCGGGTCTCACAGTTCCTGTGTTAGCTACGCGACAGGGAGTCGTGCAGAGTCTTCATAATTTCTTCGCTATGTTGGAGAAATATAACCCTGACAGCTGCACATTCTTCACGCCTACAGGAGAGTTAGGTTTTGCTCTTCATGAGATGCAGGCAGTATCGGGTCTGTCGCTTGGAAAAACGCCCTACGAGGAATTTATCCCCACCACCGAGGAGCTTTCCTTACTGAAGGTGGCACACCCGGAAATTTATGCTACTTTCTGGGAATTGATGTGCCACTTCCACATATGTGCCCAAGTCTTTGGGATGCGTGGAGGGGGCATTATGCATACTACATGGGCAGACTACCTCTTTCAAAACTTGAATCGGAAAGATGTAGCCGTATCCCGTGTCGCAGTTGTCTCACTCAAGGACGCCCAGGCTCGGATTAAGGCTCCTGGTGCTATTTATAAGGCCGAGCATGCTGAGGATGATTTTGAAGCTGGTGTCGAATTTGAAAGTTTCCACTACCAAGCCACAGTTCCTATCTCTGACACGGCTCTACTTGCAGGTTTCTTCATGATTTGGTTGAAGCGGTGTGTGGCACCATCGAGACCAATAGAGGCGATATTATCTGAGGTTGTGTACCCAGCTAATTTGCTAGTGCATGGGAGACCTGTGAGTCTCCTTACTGCTATGGTTGGCTGTATCCAGAACGGCCTGAGGGTATTGACTTCGGAACTTCTCAGTGCTTCGGGAGTCAAAGCTACTAGGAAGAAAGCTGGGAAGGCTTCTCAACCACGTGTACCTATGCCATATACGTATTTAGTGGCCTGGTTCGTGTTGCATTTCCCTCCCTTGATGATGGGAGTGCATAAAGGGGATGATGCTTATACTCCCTTCGTACAAAGATTGGAGTCGGCCACGTAGACTAGTTCTTATATAGTCAGGGCTCGACAGCTTCTATCCCGGGAAGATAATTACCGGGTTTTCTGCTATGCTCCTAACTTTGACGGAGCTGATGTGGAGGATGCCCGTTTCATGGACTTGCTTTTTGAAGGCTCATCTTCTTTGGAAGAGGGTACATTCAGCTGGCTTCTTATGATCAGGTTAGGCTACCTGGTCTATCGCTCGCGTGAAAAGTGCGTAATTGAGCCTTACATGCCTTCTCGATTTTCCAGACAGTTTGGATATGACCAACTCTATGTTGGCAATCCTAACCCAGCATTAGCTCAGATTGGGAATTTATACGAAGGAGCTCGCGCATGGTACTTCTTCTCCGCCGGGGGAACCCATGCGCAATTCACTTTACCCAATTCACCACCCGGCTGCTCCACTATTATGGATTTCCGCCAGTGGTTTGCTGAAGCTTCTCGGATTCCGGAATATGACGTTTATACTTCATGTATAAACGAGATTCGGGAATTGTACCGTTCACGGAGTGGTTCTGCGAGTACTCGTCTGCCCGGGATGGAAGAGTACCTATCTTATGAACAGGAAGCGACTGGAGCCGTTGAAGCTCCTAAGGACTTATCCACCGTAGAACCTTCTGAGGCAGAGGTTCCTACGGGGATTGAAGAGGGAAGACCAATTGATGATTCTCCTGAAGAAAAGACAACTGAGGAGATTCCTGCAGAAGAGCCTGTTCCTAAGCCTCGTTCTTTAAGATCGGGTAAGAAGGCTCTTTCTGCTGCTGAGCAAGGTGAATACGACCGGAGAATTCGTAAACGAATGCCTGTCATGGCCAAGAATTCCAAGAAGGCCAAATTAATGGGGGATGCGATGAAGTCTGCGCTCGTTGAGCGTTTTACTGACGGAGAGGACGAAATGC